CTCCCTATTTGTCCGGGCCCACTGTGTTCACCCCTTGTTTCAGTTCCGTTCGTCTTCGTTGAATGTTCAAAGATGCAGAGTTTTTGACATTTCACTAACACTTTTTGTTTCTTCCCAGTTTTCTCTTTTCTGTGTGTGCAGATTGAAGATGAAGGGCACAGAAGTAAGGTCGTCCAAGTGCAGCATTCATCTCCCACAGGTAAATGAGTAATGTTTCTCCTTGCAAAACGTCTCTGTTTTGATGCGCTTCCTTGCATTTGAATGGGCTTGCTGGATTTTAACGTGGAGGTAGACCTTGGGGTATATCTTTGGAGTTTGAGATGGCAAGTTGGACATACAGTACTTTTGATAAATGGAAATGTATTGGAGGTTTGATGACAGGACGTGATGTCAGAAAATTGGGATATTGAATTTACAATGTATACTTGCTCTTTTTTCTGCCACAGGGAGCTTTTGAATGCTGCGAAGAGAGAAGACGCCGGTTTTCATCGAAGTTTTTGTTAAGTAACTGTAACCTTTTTTCCGTGTGACGTCTATCGGGGAGGGAAGGGGGGGGGGGTAAGGGGGAGTGAAACTTGTGTCACCGGCGGTGGAAGCTACCCTGCCTGGTTTTTGGTCTGAAATTGGGATCATATCTCCAGCTTGGGATGGGATATGTCCTCTTTGCAGGTCTTAGCCCCAGGACGACCGTTGTGAAAGTGTGTGTGGTGGGTTGCCGGCTGTTTTGTTGCGTTCTGTTCATGTCTGTCTGTTTCGTCTCCCTATTTGTCCGGGCCCACTGTGTTCACCCCTTGTTTCAGTTCCGTCGTCTTCGTTGAATGTTCAAAGATGCAGAGTTTTGACATTTCACTAACACTTTTTGTTTCTTCCCAGTTTTCTCTTTTCTGTGTGTGCAGATTGAAGATGAAGGGCACAGAAGTAAGGTCGTCCAAGTGCAGCATTCATCTCCCCCAGGTAAATGAGTAATGTTTCTCCTTGCAAAACGTCTCTGTTTTGATGCGCTTCCTTGCATTTGAATGGGCTTGCTGGATTTTAACGTGGAGGTAGACCTTGGGGTATATCTTTGGAGTTTGAGATGGCAAGTTGGACATACAGTACTTTTTGATAAAATGGAAATGTATTGAGGTTTGATGACAGGACGTGATGTCAGAAATTTGGGATATTGAATTTACAATGTATACTTGCTTTTTTTTCTGCCACAGGGAGCTTTTGAATGCTGCGAAGAGAGAAGACGCCGGTTTTCATCGAAGTTTTTGTTAAGTAACTGTAACCTTTTTCCGTGTGACGTCTATCGGGGAGGGAAGGGGGGGGGGGTAAGGGGAGGTGAAACTTGTGTCACCGGCGGTGGAAAGCTACCCCTGCCTGGGTCTTTGGTCTGAAATTGGGATCATATCTCCAGCTTGGGATGGAGATATGTCCCTCTTTGCAGGTCTTAGCCCCAGGACGACCGTTTGTGAAAGTGTGTGTGGTGGTTTGCCGGCTGTTTTGTTGCGTTCTGTTCATGTCTGTCTGTTTCGTCTCCCTATTTGTCCGGGCCCACTGTGTTCACCCCTTGTTTCAGTTCCGTTCGTCTTCGTTGAATGTTCAAAGATGCAGAGTTTTGACATTTCACTAACACTTTTTGTTTCTTCCCAGTTTTCTCTTTTCTGTGTGTGCAGATTGAAGATGAAGGGCACAGAAGTAAGGTCGTCCCAGTGCAGCATTCATCTCCCACAGGTAAATGAGTAATGTTTCTCCTTGCAAAACGTCTCTGTTTTGATGCGCTTCCTTGCATTTGAATGGGCTTGCTGGATTTTAACGTGGAGGTAGACCTTGGGTATATCTTTGGAGTTTGAGATGGCAAGTTGGACATACAGTACTTGTTGATAAAATGGAAATGTATTGGAGGTTTGATGACAGGACGTGATGTCAGAAAATTGGGATATTGAATTTACAATGTATACTTGCTCTTTTTTTCTGCCACAGGGAGCTTTTGAATGCTGCGAAGAGAGAAGACGCCGGTTTTCATCGAAGTTTTGTTAAGTAACTGTAACCTTTTTTCCGTGTGACGTCTATCGGGGAGGGAAGGGGGGGGGTAAGGGGGAGGTGAAACTTGTGTCACCGCGGTGGAAGCTACCCCTGCCTGGGTCTTTGGTCTGAAATTGGGATCATATCTCCAGCTTGGGATGGAGATATGTCCTCTTTGCAGGTCTTAGCCCCAGGACGACCGTTGTGAAAGTGTGTGGGTGGGTTGCCGGCTGTTTTGTTGCGTTCTGTTCATGTCTGTCTGTTTCGTCTCCCTATTTGTCCGGGCCCACTGTGTTCACCCCTTGTTTCAGTTCCGTTCGTCTTCGTTGAATGTTCAAAGATGCAGAGTTTTGACATTTCACTAACACTTTTTGTTTCTTCCCAGTTTTCTCTTTTCTGTGTGTGCAGATTGAAGATGAAGGGCACAGAAGTAAGGTCGTCCAAGTGCAGCATTCATCTCCCACAGGTAAATGAGTAATGTTTCTCCTTGCAAAACGTCTCTGTTTTGATGCGCTTCCTTGCATTTGAATGGGCTTGCTGGATTTTAACGTGGAGGTAGACCTTGGGGTATATCTTTGGAGTTTGAGATGGCAAGTTGGACATACAGTACTTGTTGATAAAATGGAAATGTATTGGAGGTTTGATGACAGGACGTGATGTCAGAAAATTTGGATATTGAATTTACAATGTATACTTGCTCTTTTTTTCTGCCACAGGGAGCTTTTGAATGCTGCGAAGAGAGAAGACGCCGGTTTTCATCGAAGTTTTTGTTAAGTAACTGTAACCTTTTTTCCGTGTGACGTCTATCGGGGAGGGAAGGGGGGGGTAAGGGGGAGGTGAAACTTGTGTCACCGGCGGTGGAAGCTACCCCTGCCTGGGTCTTTGGTCTGAAATTGGGATCATATCTCCAGCTTGGGATGGAGATATGTCCTCTTTGCAGGTCTTAGCCCCAGGACGACCGTTGTGAAAGTGTGTGTGGTGGGTTGCCGGCTGTTTTGTTGCGTTCTGTTCATGTCTGTCTGTTTCGTCTCCCTATTTGTCCGGCCCACTGTGTTCACCCCTTGTTTCAGTTCCGTTCGTCTTCGTTGAATGTTCAAAGATGCAGAGTTTTGACATTTCACTAACACTTTTTGTTTCTTCCCAGTTTTCTCTTTCTGTGTGTGCAGATTGAAGATGAAGGGCACAGAAGTAAGGTCGTCCAAGTGCAGCATTCATCTCCCACAGGTAAATGAGTAATGTTTCTCCTTGCAAAACGTCTCTGTTTTGATGCGCTTCCTTGCATTTGAATGGGCTTGCTGGATTTTAACGTGGAGGTAGACCTTGGGGTATATCTTTGGAGTTTGAGATGGCAAGTTGGACATACAGTACTTGTTGATAAAATGGAAATGTATTGGAGGTTTGATGACAGGACGTGATGTCAGAAATTTGGATATTGAATTTACAATGTATACTTGCTCTTTTTTTCTGCCACAGGGAGCTTTTGAATGCTGCGAAGAGAGAAGACGCCGGTTTTCATCGAAGTTTTTGTTAGTAACTGTAACCTTTTTTTCCGTGTGACGTCTATCGGGGAGGGAGGGGGGGTAAGGGGGAGGTGAAACTTGTGTCACCGGCGGTGGAAGCTACCCTGCCTGGGTCTTTGGTCTGAAATTGGGATCATATCTCCAGCTTGGGATGGAGATATGTCCTCTTTGCAGGTCTTAGCCCCAGGACGACCGTTGTGAAAGTGTGTGTGGTGGGTTGCCGGCTGTTTTGTTGCGTTCTGTTCATGTCTGTCTGTTTCGTCTCCCTATTTGTCCGGGCCCACTGTGTTCACCCCTTGTTTTCAGTTCCGTTCGTCTTCGTTGAATGTTCAAAGATGCAGAGTTTTGACATTTCACTAACACTTTTTGTTCTTCCCAGTTTTCTCTTCTTTTCTGTGTGTGCAGATTGAAGATGAAGGGCACAGAAGTAAGGTCGTCCAAGTGCAGCATTCATCTCCCACAGGTAATGAGTAATGTTTCTCCTTGCAAAACGTCTCTGTTTTGATGCGCTTCCTTGCATTTGAATGGGCTTGCTGGATTTTAACGTGGAGGTAGACCTTGGGTATATCTTTGGAGTTTGAGATGGCAAGTTGGACATACAGTACTTGTTGATAAAATGGAAATGTATTGGAGGTTTGATGACAGGACGTGATGTCAGAAATTGGGATATTGAATTTACAATGTATACTTGCTCTTTTTTTCTGCCACAGGGAGCTTTTGAATGCTGCGAAGAGAGAAGACGCCGGTTTTCATCGAAGTTTTTGTTAAGTAACTGTAACCTTTTTTTCGTGTGACGTCTATCGGGGAGGGAAGGGGGGGGGGTAAGGGGGAGGTGAAACTTGTGTCACCGGCGGTGGAAGCTACCCTGCCTGGGTCTTTGGTCTGAAATTGGGATCATATCTCCAGCTTGGGATGGAGATATGTCCTCTTTGCAGGTCTTAGCCCCAGGACGACCGTTGTGAAAGTGTGTGTGGTGGGTTGCCGGCTGTTTTGTTGCGTTCTGTTCATGTCTGTCTGTTTCGTCTCCCTATTTGTCCGGGCCCACTGTGTTCACCCCTTGTTTCAGTTCCGTTCGTCTTCGTTGAATGTTCAAAGATGCAGAGTTTTGACATTTCACTAACACTTTTTGTTTCTTCCCAGTTTTCTCTTTTCTGTGTGTGCAGATTGAAGATGAAGGGCACAGAAGTAAGGTCGTCCAAGTGCAGCATTCATCTCCCACAGGTAAATGAGTAATGTTTCTCCTTGCAAAACGTCTCTGTTTTTGATGCGCTTCCTTGCATTTGAATGTGGCTTGCTGGATTTTAACGTGGAGGTAGACCTTGGGGTATATCTTTGGAGTTTGAGATGGCAAGTGGACATACAGTACTTGTTGATAAAATGGAAATGTATTGGAGGTTTGTTGACAGGACGTGATGTCAGAAAATTTGGATATTGAATTTACAATGTATACTTGCTCTTTTTTTCTCTGCCACAGGGAGCTTTTGAATGCTGCGAAGAGAGAAGACGCCGGTTTTCATCGAAGTTTTTGTTAAGTAACTGTAACACCTTTTTTCCGTGTGACGTCTATCGGGAGGGAAGGGTGGGGGGGGGGGTAGGGGAGGTAACTTGTGTCACCGGCGGTGGAAGCTACCCTGCCTGGGTCTTTGGTCTGAAATTGGGATCATATCTCCAGCTTGGGATGAGATATGTCCTCTTTGCAGGTCTTAGCCCCAGGACGACCGTTGTGAAAGTGTGTGTGGTGGGTTGCCGGCTGTGGGCGGATTCCAGGGAGGGCCCAAAGGGGGGCCCATGGCCCCCCCCAAAACAAAACCAATTTTTTTTTTTTTTTTAATGTGACAGCCCATGCAATAAAAGGCAGGCACATGAGTACACCACCATCTTTTCCTAAAAAAAAATTGGTTAAAGTGGTCAGAAATTTCCTCAGATCGCACCACAGAGCATCTATAATCCAAAAATTTTTTCGGGGCCCTAACGGGCCCCGAACCCCACGCCGTAATTTTTGAGACTCACTTTTTTGGGGGGGACCAAATTTTTTTTTGGCCCCCCCAAAAATTGTGTTCTGGATCCGCCCTTGTTGCCAGCTGTTTTGTTGCGTTCTGTTCATGTCTGTCTGTTTCGTCTCCCTATTTGTCCGGGCCCACTGTGTTCACCCCTTGTTTCAGTTCCGTTCGTCTTCGTTGAATGTTCAAAGATGCAGAGTTTTGACATTTCACTAACACTTTTTGTTTCTTCCCAGTTTTCTCTTTTCTGTGTGTGCAGATTGAAGATGAAGGGCACAGAAGTAAGGTCGTCCAAGTGCAGCATTCATCTCCCACAGGTAAATGAGTAATGTTTCTCCTTGCAAAACGTCTCTGTTTTGATGCGCTTCCTTGCATTTGAATGGGCTTGCTGGATTTTAACGTGGAGGTAGACCTTGGGGTATATCTTTGGAGTTTGAGATGGCAAGTTGGACATACAGTACTTGTTGATAAAATGGAAATGTATTGGAGGTTTGATGACAGGACGTGATGTCAGAAAATTGGGATATTGAATTTACAATGTATACTTGCTCTTTTTTCTGCCACAGGGAGCTTTTGAATGCTGCGAAGAGAGAAGACGCCGGTTTTCATCGAAGTTTTTGTTAAGTAATTGTAACCTTTTTTCCGTGTGACTTCTATCGGGGAGGGAAGGGGTGGGGGGGGGGGTAAGGGGGAGGTGCAACTTGTGTCACCGGCGGTGGAAGCTACCCCTGCCTGGGTCTTTGGTCTGAAATTGGGATCATATCTCCAGCTTGGGATGGAGATACTTTATACCATCTTGCTCACAGCCATTTTGAATTCACGTTCGTGTTTGTAGAACATAATGAAATTAGATGGATTGCATTTTGAAAGTGTACTCTAAATGCAACGTGCAAGTGCTACATACATGTACGCAAGCAAGTTAAGCGCATTATGACGGTTAAAAAACGTCACGGCAAAAATCAGCTGCAGCAGATATGCGCACACATTTTCGCAGAGCAAATGAAACACTCAATTTACTGTGCATTTCAGTTTGAGTGTATCGGCTTTGATAGCACACCTGTATGGAATACAGACGCAGATACAAATAGCCGTACAAAAGTTTGAGTTTTCCATAGGTTTGTGCACAAACATGGATGCGCCCATCAGCCATCACTTTGTACATCGAGTCAGCACTCTAGTAATTCAGTGTAGCTCTATGGCAGTAATGTAGTTTCTTCCTAATTGCTTCTTGAAATACGTGTTTTTGTGTTTGTGCATTGGTCATGTATTTTTGTAATACAGAGGATTTCATGTGGAAAATGTTGTTGCATTTTACCTGAATGCTATTAAAATGCATGTACATGTACATTTCCAGGTTTTGTTTATGCACTTGGAAACATGCCCAATTGCCTGAGAATTGCAATATGAAATTTTGGAACAAAAAGTAATCTTTTTAACAATAATTTTCTTTGCATTTCTGCCTGTACACAGACCCTGGAAATCAACGCCACAATTAATGCCCCTCCCCAGAAAGAACCGCACCGGCAGCAACCCCGTCAGTTCAGTCTTCAGCACACGACGCAACAAAGTCACCCAACCTACCTTAGACCTTCAGCACCGCAGGCAATATCGACACCTCGGACTCATGATGTGGTCAATTCCACGCTGGTGTAACAAGCCATTAAGCCTCAGGCATGTGCACTGGCTCTTCATGAGCCCAGTCTCTTAAACATCTCACCCATAGATTGTGTCAGCTGATGGTATTGTACAAATTGCAACATGATCAGAGAAATAGTAGTGGCAAGTTACACTGAGTGAGAGGAGGTAGTGTGAAATCACTGGTGCCAAGGTGGGCTGATGTGGACTACCATACCTCCTAACGTGGACAAGTAATACACTACTTACCCGAAATGAACCATGTTGTATTTGTTCTGTTACACCCATACATAATTCGTTAGTTCCATTGGAAGAAATTCATTGGAATTCCATGGAACATCCCTCCCATGAAATGCGTATATACTGTCATTCTTGAAGGTTGCAGTGTGGTACCACTAGCAACCCGACTTGCATGTGCAATTGTTGCATAGCTCAGGGTTTCAGAGCTAATTATGGGGTACTTCTGTCCTGGTAGCACTGACTGGTTTACGTGCCTCATGCGTGTGCCGTGTGTGCAGGGTAGCTGCTTTTGCTTCCCAGACAAACCTATGCAAGTATGAATAATGCTTTAAGCTTCACTTGTTGTTACTGTACTACCGCCTATTGTCCAAAAGACTAGTCCATGACCCAAAGTGCTAAAAGCACAGCAACTAAAGAACTACATCACTGCAACTGGAGGTCTGTGTTGATGTGGGTGCTCTTGCAGACCATTTCTTGATAGCGCAACACCAGTGTGAACATTTTGTCAAGGGGAAGATTGCAGAAGTGCAATAACAAGTGAATTTCAGTACACACAAATTGAATAAATATTGTCTTGCATTAGGAGTATATAATCAGCTGTCCGGTGTATCTGTAGGTGAGGTGTTTATACAAAGTAAATATTGACTGTTCTAACGTGTGGTACAGTAAAAAGAGTTTCACTTAGTGATCCGTGGAGTGCTATATTTTCCCTCCACTCTTCCTTGAGAATATACTTACAATATGGTATGGATCACCTTGCAATGGTATCGTTTGATTGTACCACTCATTGCAGTCAATATTAGCATACATTGTACTTAAAAGGCAGTGGTGTAGTCAAGTACATTTCCATGAGTACGAAATGTACTGGAGTATGAGTATGAGTACTGCAACACTGCTAGAAGGCATATGAAGTGTGACTCATGAGAATGTGGAGGTGCACATTGATCTATGCAAGACAAAGCTTTGCTTACTGCATTTATTCTAGCTTTATATGAACATCTTCCATATGCCCAGTGACATCTGAAACATTTTTGTCATTGACCTGACCAATCACATTGCTTTATGACTATAACAATGAACAAGTAAGGGCGTTGTTTTCTTCTCTTGCTTTTGCAAAGTTTAAGGAAAACAAGACAAGTCCCTGCATGCTTGATTGATGCGGCATGATTGTCAACATCTGACATGGTTTCTGCACATCCACGTACTCTGGTTCATATTTAACTTATGTAACTTCTTGGAAGCTTCCATCCTATTGTTCATTTGTGTCTCGGTAAACAGTCAAAATGTGGTATTAAGCGCATTCAGTTTTGCTGTTGAACCACTGTTATTAACACATTGAACCCAACTTTTTCAACAACTCAGAATATAGTATAGGTAGATTTTTCTTTAGGACATTAATATCCATGATATATATACGTATATATTTTTAAGAAGGGGCTGAAGTCCAGCACTTTTTGAGTGAGAAAGCTAGAATTGTTTTGCTTGTATCCTATTGTGTATAGCTATCCCGAGATAAGTTGTGTCTAGTTTCTGTGCTGTTATAGTTTGGTTTTCGTATATGGCACATGATGTAGGGTTTGATATTTACTTTGCTAGCTTGTGATTTGCAACTTTGCCACAAACATTTAAGATAAATATAAAGATCATAAAATGATCACTTTTTTGTTATTAATTTCATTAATCAGAAATACAGGTGGAATGTAGGTTAGCTATACACATCAATCATATTGACAAATATGTTGGTTTGTATAAAAAAAAAAGGCCTCCTGTTTAAACGATATACTTAAAGTCTTTATTAGTTTAATTGTGTTGGACAATATATTTCAAATGATGTTTATTATATAAAAAAGTGATCACATAGGGAAATGGTTTCAGTAAATTATGTTTAAAAGAAATCATTTCTGCTATGCAAAATGTAAAAAAAAGGTTTAAATATTGTATGGTTTTACTTGTTTATGTATATTCATTTACTTTTACAAAATTGTGCAATTTATGAATTAATAACTGAGCTTTCAGACATTTGAGATGGAAAAAGTCAACATTGATACTAAAGGACCTAAGACAAGAAATGGGAAAATGGGGGGGGGGGGGGGCGGAGCGTTTGTTGAATTCTTTATTTCAGTTATGCTGGTAGCTTTATTTATTTGACATGGTCCTACAGAAACTGCAATTGTTGCAATAAAGTAGTCCAAGTTATTCTTTTGCTAACTGCGAAAACTGTAAACTAATGAATGTACACATGTTTTTGTGAGAATAGATGTGGTTTATTGTAACAATGTATGGTTATATTTTGTACAAATTATCCTACTTCCCATGCATGGATGCTGTGATTATGTTCAGTAATTTAGTTGTTTTAAGTCTATTTTCTTCGGTCAAGATAGAGGTTCTGAGTACAAACAATGTGCTTTTTAAAAATGAACGAGTGATTGTTTGAATTATTGTCTGGTACAATTTATGTTGCACATTGTGACTTGCTTTTCACAGAGTGCATGTACATGTAATATATGAATTCTGTAACGTATGTACTACTAGTATGTTATGTCCAGTGGCCCTAAGAGTGAAATAACATTATGTGAGACTTGCACTTGTGCGTTTAATATCTCCATTATTTAAGTTGTCATTGAGACTCAACTAGAAAAGACTCGAGTTGAAATCGTAATCTTTTCAATGAGGGAATAAATGTGTGTGCTTGTTGGTCGATATTAAACACTGTTCAACACCGGCTTGGAGTCTGGATGATGATACTGACCGGAGCCAAAGGCAAGGGTCGTTATCAGCATCCAGACTCAACCGGTCTTAAACAAAGTGTAGAATACCGGCCAAGCACATATTTATTTCCATTCATAAATACCTCTTCGGTCAAAAAATCTAAACTTTTGGTCCAAAAGTCAAAGGAAGTTAAAACTTATAGATTTCTTACAATTTTGTTCAACAATTTTACTACACTTTTTTTTCTCGAAACGCCCATCTAGCTATTTCATGTTATGTCCCTTTACATGGGTCAACTGTCGTAGGTCAACCAGCCCTAGTGTCAACATATCTAAACTCAACTTTGATTGGCTGGCCCGTGGGGTCGCATACAATTTGCATGTTCGGATATATCAGACATTCGTAGTGAGGCTCTGTAAACATGATCGTTTGATCCTCGGACTACCCAGGAGGCTAGTTTTACCACTCAACTTGAAGCAGCTGATATTTGTATAATTAAGAGCTCAATGGTAGTTGCCCCAGTCTAGTCTTGGGAAGGTCTATGTACATTGTTTCAAGTTGAAGCTCATGAGATTGATCAGTTGACATTCATGACATTGAATTGTATAGATTAGGGATAGGCAATGTGGCAATATTTATGAGGTTGGTACCTAGACAGGCTTGTAGGGGCATCAAGGTCTGCATATGCAAACCGCCCCCCCCCCCCCACACACACACACAAAGAAATAAAATCCACATTTTTGCTGAATATTTTTGTGAAGTAATTTGGCTCATCTATTACTTTCACCACTGCCTTTAAAAGATTACCTGCAACCATGATGCTTCAACTGAATAAAAATGACATAATAGTGCCATCCAGAGACTAATGTAATCAAGCCCCCCCCCCCTTCCTTGAGTTTGTCAAACTGCAAGTCTTACCCAATTATATGTTGGTCTGGTGTCTTTACCCCCCCCCCCCCCCCTCGTGCATACATGCCTGGTATTGGCTCAACTGTGGCTTCTATTAGTGATTTCTTGATTGGTCAAAACATTCAACACGGTGGCACTGTGTGTAACAAACTAACAGACATGTATGTTGTACATATGTGCTTATCTTCAACCAAATTTGAATTCTTATACTGATAGGTTGATACATGAAACAGGCATGCAACTCAAAATTTACAAGAAAAGGAGGAAATTCCAAACCACACAAGCCTTTGTACAGTATTTTTCAAAAATTGTAATGGCATTCATGAGAAGAAAAGAAAGAAGGAAATCAGCAGATCCAAGGAAAAATTGCATGCCTGATGGCAACAACAGTGTTATTATCCCATAATGGGCCACACTGCACCACACAACGCAAGACGCTTGCTGCACGTACGTATGTGGTAGATGAAAGCTGAAACGTGACGACAGCGTGCACGTAACTGTGCATGAAGTGTGCTGGAAGATGAATTGTTAAACCCACTCACACTCATGGAACACACAAAATAAAGCGCTTGAATGCCAATCACAAATTTGTTCTGAAAGCTTGCATAGATCCTTTTAATATTCTACATTTAATTCCAAAATCCTTCACCATAAAAATAAAGTCCTTAAAATAGCCAACTTATTTTAAAAAGTATTTCACTGCAAAAATTCCAAAAGATATTAACAGTTGCATAAAATAATCTCTCTGTTCAATCCTTACTGCCAAGCATATCAATAGGGCTCACTCAATGACGGTCATCTCTTGATTGCTTATTTTACGCAATCAAGCACGCATTGCGCAGTGTTAAAAATGTTCCAAACACACGCGCTTCTTGCTTGAAATGTGTTTGAAATACGACACAGCCGATGTGCGTTATTCAGTTGATGCTCAAAATGTTGATGCATGTGGCTGGTCTGTAGGAAATGACGTCATTTGAATGAGACCTATTGATATTGGACACCAATATAAGATTGTATGGTAGAATACATGTGACTTCATTGCATACACTACTTTGTACATCTCTCCTACATTAGAACAACATGCAGGACATGACCCCAATACATGTACTTTTTGTGCATAGTTAATTGGAATAACAAGCTTGACACAAATGTTTGGAACAACAAATGGGTATTGAAGGACAACTTGCAAACTAGATGGTGAGAAGAGGGCACTATTTACCATTCTGAAATGAACAGGACTGTTCATGTAGTCATCGAGGACAAAACGTGGACATCTGCGTTTCTGCTGTCAGAATAGCAGATTGAGTATTTTTTGAATGGTTCATTTTGTTCTGCTTTCCCGCCTTTGTGCTACCATAAATGCAGAATTTACTGTTTAATAAAATCCACTGTAGTGCTTTTATGCTACCTGAAATGCAGATTTTGCTTTTCCTCCCTTGCTGGAGGGAGAAAAAGTGGACATCTGCTTTTCTCTTGTTCAAAAATCAGATCAAACCGTTTCTGACGTTTCCATTTCCTGCTTTTGTGCTACCCAAAATGTATATTTTTGTTTTTTGCTTTTCTCATTTCTTAGAACCAGAAAAGCAAAACGAACCTTTGGTAACTACCATTTGTATTCTGCTTTTGGTTAAAAGGAAAATGAAACGGTGCTTCTGAGAAAAATAAGCACCGTTTCATTTTTCTTTGAGTGTAGGTTAACAGGGTTTTTTAGGCGTTCCCCCTTAAAGAGCTTCCACATCACAAAGTTACAAAATGAAAAATGTATTGTCGGAAAATGGCCATACTTCTGTTATCTGCTCTTCTGACAGCAGAAAAGCGATGTCCACTTTGTGTCCTCCTTGGGCCTTACCATAGTGTACCCAAAGTATCGCATTTGAGAAGTCTTTGCTGTGCGCAGTAAACCCATATGTGAGCTGCACAAGCATTACTTCAATAACATCTGAACATACTGGCATGCAATTTCAGTAGTTATTGCCTCCATTTTAAACAGATTCAATTTCAAAACATTGACTATTTTGGCAGTATACATTGCCCCCACAATATAATGGAGCCTTTTCATGTCAAGGTTCCTGTGAGATAACAAATACAACAAACTCTCTCCAGTTTTAAGTAACCAAAGTAACTGTACATGTGGGCATTGTTATGTTAGTACTGTTACTATTCTACGCAGAACAACCGGCCATTCGTACTAAAGTGACAAAGTGACATCAGTTCTCACGTAGCACATGAACAAAAAGGAGCCTTTTTCTCTAAATGTTTGAAATCGTTCACAAGAACAGCGAATACAGCAGCTGAACTATCAGCATGCTAGCATCGGTGGATTTATAGGATCTCCTCCAACTGTTTCTAATCTTAAGTTGTCAGACAAGTCAATTATTAATAACATCAGACATACATGCACTGTTCTTGTGAATATCAGATTTTTGACCCAGGGTGGCAAAAAGGTTCACTTTTTCTATTCACTTGGCACAATAAAATGTTTATGCATAGGCCTTGGTGGGAAAGACAATAGCAACGAAGTCCTATGTCCAATTTGATTGAAAGTTTGATAAGGTTTCCCTGTATTCTCAAGATGTACAGTATCCACTCAGCTATAACTTCAACAGGTAAGTTGTTATGGATCTAACTTAAGATTTGGAGCAATTTTGTTTTTGCTTCAAAAAAAAAAACCCAAAAGGCACAAATATCACAAGATCCTATGCATCTTCAAACAGAGAATGAGGCTTCCCAAAGTTATAAGTCATTTGATCAAATGTGGAGACACAGTGAGGGGTGATTGTGTGTATTACTAGAGATTCCTGAGGTCTGTTTCCACGCCATAGATCAGAGCCTTGAGTTGAAGTAGCTCACTCTGCATCTTCTTTGATCTCTTAGCTGTCTGATGAATATTATGCAGCATGAACATATCACCATCTTCCCCAACACCCACTGTCACCTGTTCAGCATGGCAACAAAACAAGAAGGGTTTACATTACAAAGCACTGACAATGATCCAGGGCTAGGGATGTAGTTGATTCCATTCACAAGTCCACCACAAGTCCAGACACAAGTAATTCGTGAGTCCATCACAAGTCCAGGCACAAGATACACTGGATGCCTTTGTCAAAGCTCATTTGAATAGCTTGTGAGTTAAATTGGTGTTGGAGGACTTGTGGTGGACTTGCAGGGACTAGTGATGGACTCGACTACATCCCTGCAATGATGTCCTTGCAATCTTGATTTCAGTGACAACATCATTATGGACTAAGATGACATAACATCTCACTAACAGAATCTGCTTCTTGATTTAGTCAAGAGCACGTTTCATGGAATGCACCATTTTACTTTATATAATCGACATACAGATCGTTGTCATTTGATTGGTGGAACTCACATCATGTGGCATTCGTTATTGCTCCCATTCACGCCGGGGCTCAAAAAGTCCCATTCGCCTATGGGGAATGGGAAATACTATTGAACAGTTAGGATCATTCTTGTTCCATGACGCAGTTGTATGCAAATGCATGCTGGTGTGCGCGTTTAGCATTGCACGTAGCCAGCGTTGGGTTCAAACATTTTCGTGAAGGGGTGGTTTGGAAGAGAAAAATACATTTTCAACCAATTTTATATTGAAATAAAAGTTCAAATATCAAATGACAAGGATCTATGTGTCAGTTATATAAAACAAATATAAAAGTTCGACATGTTTTTGTACATGGTGGAAGTGTGGCCTTTATTTATGGAGGTAGTCCAGTAAAATGGCCACATATGGGGCTAAGCATGACCCAGCCTTTGGGGTACTTGTTCGCAGTGTCCGCACCACGATCTGCATGAACTGCACTATAGCTGACCAACATAGGAAAGTAGAAAACAGCAACGGACAAATGCAAACTAACAACATGACTGACATGAACAGACAATACTCCACCTTGTAGAGTTGCTTCTCAACATCCTTGAGTTGGTTTCTCAAGATTCGGGTATCATTCT